CATGCCCTGTGTCCAGGTTGAAAGTTCTGAGGACAAAGGAGAGGTCTGTCACAGGAACCTTTCTCACAGTTTTTGCATCTAGAGCTAGCCAGGAGACTAGTGTGGAACAGCGCCAGCTGTGCAGTCAACTCCTGGGATCTGACACCTCTTGCTACCGTCCAAGGCCCTGATGAGTCCCTGTCTGAGGTGTTTCTAAACACCTTCCCGTTTTGTAATTAGTAATAATCACACCTTGTATAAGCTTACTGGCTGTGACAACTGCCACCTCACAAACCTCTTTTCTCATCTTTTAAAAACTATTGTAAAAACTTTTAATTGACACCTGGTGATTGTATATACATACTATGGGGCACAAGATGACATTTCAGTACGTGTCCATGGTAGATGATGAATGACTGATTACATCAGAACAATTGGCATATCAATCTCTGTAGATATTTATCTCGTGTGTGTGTGTGTGTGTGTGGTGTGCTAGGAATACTTAAAATATCCTCTCTGCTAGCTGTTTTGAAATATTCAAAGTAGTTGGCAACAAGCAAGTCTGGTGTTACAGGACTGTAATCTTAGCTACCCAGGAAGTTCAAGGCCGACCAGGGATACAGAGGGAGTTCAAGGGCCTCCTGGGGATCTTGGCAAGGCCATACCTCAGAAAGTTAAGAATGGAGAAGGAGGAGGAAGCTGGGGGAAGGAGGCACAGCTCAGTGGTGGCAACACAAAGATAAAGGAATTTTTCTGGGAGAGAAGTTTGTGAGGCAGGAGAGTTCCACGTTTGGTAATGCCTACATAGCTGTCATTGAGTGTGAGGCCAGGTTAGCCAGGACAGAGAAGAATTTCTAGGCAGAGAAGGGATGCCGCTCAGTGATATAAGACTTTGAAGTCATTGTGTTAGACGAGTCTGTTCCCAGGTCTGTGGCCTCTCCGCACCCATCAGTGGATGTGAGCAGGGAAGGATGAGGCTAGGAACCCATCGGGCAGATTCCTACAATACCGGAAAACGGCAGGGAGGTGCTTAGGGCCAGCTGAAGGGACAGAGAAGGCGAGAGACTCCAGGAGACTCAAGGGTGAAGAAGGCTGCAGTGGGGCGAAAGGTCAGGAAGACACTGACAACAAAGTTTCTACAGCAGGGGTGGAAGATTCTAGAGCAACCAGTCCGAGGTGCGAGGTGGGTGTGGGAGGGAGAACTGGAGCAGAGGTGAACAGTGCTGTAAATGGTTATCAGTGGGAAGGAGACAGGCATGTAACATGAACTCTGGACTCAGCTCCTGCGCAGTGGGGAGTGTGTGGTAGGAGGGCCTGTTGGTGTGAATAAAGCTAAGTTTCAGTGAAGTCCCAGAGAAAAGGTGAGGACGTCATAAAGACACTGGAAGAGGGAAACACAGTACAACACAGGAAGGACACAGGACACAGGAGTGTGGACAGGGATGAGAACTTAGTGGGGTTTGGGATGACAGTACAAGGCCTACCTCTGATGTCATTGACTACCGTTAAGGAACATAGGCCAGCGCTAGTGGCCTCCACACAGCAGGGCAGCAGTGGTACCTGACAAGTGCCTGTGTGCTGAGGCTTGACCCTGGGCCTCCTGCATGCTAGGCACGAGGTTGTGTTTTACTGTTCTTAGATGCTCTCTCGTGTACAGCAGACTCCCCAAAAACTGGCTGTGCATCGGAGGATAACCCTGACCTCCTGACCTGAGTGCTGGGACTACAGGCATGTGCTATCATGTCTGTTTTATGTGGTGCTAGAGGGAGCTCAGATCCTAGACTGAGTGGGTGCTAGCCAGGTGCTCTACCAGCTGAGCTGCATGCCCAGCCTTTTCCCTTCATGCCCAAACTTTTCCCTACTTTTGAAGATTTATTTTACTTGTAAATGTGTGTGTGTGTGTGTGTGTGTGTGTGTTCCTGTCTGTCTGTATATAGGTATGCATACATACATGCAGGTACCCACAGAAGCCCAAGGCCTCGAATTCCCCTGGACTTGGAGTCAGGTTGTGAGCAATTGGATGTAAGTGCTGGGAACTGAACTCAGGTCCTCTGAAAGAGCAGTATGTACTCTTAACCTCTAACCCATCTCCCAGCCCCCCTCTCTTTTTATATAAGATTTTGGCAGTACTGAAAGTCAAACCCAGGTCCTTGCACACACTAGATAGCGATCTATTTATTCCTTGAAATGGGATTTTCGTTTAGCCAAGGGCTAGGATTCTAGGCAAGCCCTTTCATGCCAGTTTACCTCACGCCTTCTACCCCAGTTAAAATTGCGGCCACAGGCTGCTGTCCTCAAATGATACACATACGTTTCCATCATTCCTTCTTTCATCCAGAATGGGCTGAAGCATCTGGACTGCCAGCCGTGGCCTGACTGAGCCACCGAGAAGCCCTTTAGTGGGTCTGGAGAGATGGCTCAGTGGTTAGGAGCACTGACTGCTCTTCCAGAGGTCCTGAGTTCAATTCCCAGGAACTGCATGGTGACTCACAACCATCTGTAATGGGATCCGATGCCCTCTTCTGGTGTGTCTGAAGATAGCGACAGTGTGCTCATATACATTTAAAAAAAAAAAAGCAAAAAAACCTTAGACCTAAGTGTGCCCCCAGGCTTCTAGGGTGGTCTGAACATTTGATTAACATATATAGACATCCTCTGTCCAGAGGCCTGAGAGGTGATGATGGGCAGCCATCACCCATCAGTAGATGGAGATGGGGCTACCCGCCGAGGCCTCTGTAAGTGCGGCATCTCTGCAGCTTAGCACCAAGGGACTGAGGCTAAAATAAGTCCATTTTTCTCACAGATGATCTGTGTAGGCGGCTGAAACCTAGACAGCTTGATGATAAGTTCTGCGCCCAGACTGGGTGCAGTGAGAAAATGGCCTAGATCTGAAAGCTCAGGGCAGACTTCAGCCAGAACCTGATGTCTCAAGTGTGTCCTAACAGATGTGGTAACATCCTGGAACACTGAGTTATTCATTGAAGTTCCTGGGAAGCAACAAGAACTTGAGGAGAAAGTTTTTCTAAGCCAGGCATGTGCCAAGCACCTGTAATCACAGTACTTGGGAGGTAGAGGCAGGGAAAACAAGTGTTCCGGACCATTCTAGGATACATAGGAAATTTCAGGACAGCCTGGACTGTACTAAACCCAGTCGAAACCTAAGTAGGGGCTGGAGAGATGGGTCCGAGATTAAGAGCACTCACTGCCTTTGCAGAAGATTTTGGCTCCATTCCCAACATTCATACGGTGACTCAGGACCATCCATAACTTCTAGGGGATATGACACCCCCTTCTGTCATCCGGGGACACCAGGCACACACGGGGCACATATGCCTCAATGCAGGCAAAAGTGTTCATACACATAAAATAAACATGAACATGAATAAGTATGGGGACTGGAGAGATGGCTCAGTGGTTAAGAACACTGGCTGCTCTTGCAGAGGACCTGGGTTTGATTCCCAGCAACCACATGGTGGCTCACAACCACCTGAAACTCCACTTTCAGGGGATCCAGTGCCTCCTTTGCCCTGTCAGGGAACTGCATGGACGCTGTGCAGCTACACACACGTGAGTGGAGAGCCGTGTGGGAGTGACTCACCCCATCAAGGCCAAGTCAGAGTGCCAGAAAGGGCTTATCCCTAGGACAGACAGTATTTCCTCAGCCCTGGGCGTTTGGAAGGCAAAGGAATAAGAGTGGGTGGAATGTGTGGAGATCCAACTTCCTGGGTCCTGCAGTACATGGCAGGCCCAAGTTCTGAGTCTCCTGGAGACAGATCGCCAGCTTTCTTAGTGCCCCAGGAGTGAACTAGTCTGAGGACACCCAGAGTCGTCAGTGAAGCAGCCCAGCCCTTCCAGGAAGTCCCTGCTAACGCCTCTCCTCACATCTGTCTTTCAGGTGGATCTTTAATGGTGAGGGCCCGACTGCTCACCTGTGTGGAAGGGATGGATCTGTCTTTGTTAGAAAAAGCCATCTTGGAGCAGAGGCTCCACCTGCAGAAGAGGCAGCAGCCAATAGAAGATGCTAACACCCTACAGGACCCTCCACCCGGTCCTCAACCTCTTCCCAGTGACAGCCCTAGTCTGGAACCAGAGAGCATGGAGGAGGTGCCCCCTCCCCAAACTCTGGACTGACCAGAAAGCCCACCCAAGCTGGCCGTCGTGGCCCATACTGCAATTCCAGTGCTGAGGCAGGAGAGGCAGAAGCAGGCGGAGTTTAAAGCCAGTCTGAGCTACATGACCGCCCCCCTAAAAAATAAACATGACACCCCACCCCAGGACCCTGGAGCTGTGGCTTGTGAGGGACATGAAGGATTCTTGAATGCCTCCTGAATAAAGAGTATGAGCGTGCAGTGTGTGTACTGATGCAGAACCGGCTGCAGCCAGAAGGGGCCAGCAGGGGGAGCCACAAGCAGACAGCTTGCCTGACAGAGAAGCTGCAGCCTGCTGAGGGCTTCTGGTGAATTCTGGGCTAGGAGGCTGAGTGGAGGATTCTAGGCACCCAGGGGCAGAATTGGGGGGCCAAAGGGCAGAGTTGGGGGCCCAGGACTCAAAGGGCTCACTGTTACTGGGGTTCTGACCTCATTGGAGGCTACGAATCGCCAAACGGGCACGGCCGAGGCCCAGGGTCCTTATGTGTGACCCAGGGTAGGATTGTGGTCTTAGAAGCCTCAGCCAACTCCTAACCTCTGCCTGTGCGGTCAACCCTCCCCTGTACAGCTTGTATGGGTAGATTCTTGTAGCCCCAGAGTGTGGGTTTGCCTGGACCCAGGTATGGACTAAGGTAGAAGTTTGGGCTCTCCTGCATTCCGTAGCCAGGCATTGGAGAAGCCTTCTGGAGCTGGGTTAGGCTGGGGTGGGGAAGAAGCAATCCACAGCCTTGAACTTCCCAAGCAAGATGGGTGGCAGGCAGTGCGCGGGGAGAGCCGGGCTTGGGCTGGGGCTGTGGTGGGTGTTCTGTGTAGACTGGAGTCCAGCGGAGGGGATCGATTCTTCCTGTGAAATTTAAATGCCCAGATGTGGTCTGTTTCCCCGGGCAGCTCTACAGACATGGATGTGCTCCAGAAGGTAGAAAAGATCGGAGAGGGGACCTACGGGGTAGTCTATAAGGCCAAGAACAAAGTGACTGGGCAGCTCGTGGCCCTCAAGAAGATCAGGCTGGATCTGTGAGTGTTGGGACTCTGCCCGACACCCTGTCTGTCTCCCAAGGGAATGCCCAAACCTGTTCTCATTGCCGGAGCTTGCACCCAACTTCTAGGGTAGCCATGAAGGGTCAGCCCTTACCTCCCTGCCCTCTGACTAGCCTTTGTCCTGGGTCCAGCTCTGTGACACTTGGTGGCTGTAAAGTGTGTTGGGGGGCACAGGTCCCGCTCTTGGACAGGCCTTCTGTACAGAAACGGGGAGCGTGGTGTGAGGTGCATACTCACATACCCTGGCCAGAAGTGACTCCTTGTGCCCATCGGTACTTCATCCTTCCCTACAGGGAAACCGAGGGGGTACCCAGCACTGCCATCAGGGAGATTACCTTGCTGAAAGAACTGAAGCACCCCAATATCATCAAGTGAGCTGGGAAAGGAAGTGGGGGGGGGGGTTGGGATCCTAAATGTCACATCCTGAGACTGAGCCCTCCCTGGCAGACTGCTGGATGTGATCCACAGAGAGAAGAAACTGTATATGGTGTTTGAGTTCCTCACTCAGGACCTGAAGAAGCACATGGACTCCTCCCCCACCTCAGAGCTCCCTCCGCATGTAGTAAAGGTGCCCAGGGAAAGGGACAGGGGAAAGCCACACCCAGACCCCTGCCAGCCACCTTCTGCTCCATGGCTTTTCTTGGTCATTCCCACAGAGCTACCTCTCCCAGCTGCTGCAAGGGGTGAGCTTCTGCCACTCCCACCGGGTCATTCACCGAGACCTGAAGCCTCAGAACCTGCTCATCAATGAGTTTGGGGCCATCAAACTGGCTGACTTTGGACTGGCTCGGGCCTTTGGGATTCCCCTGCGCACCTATACTCATGAGGTAGTGGAGGGCAGGGGATGAGAGGAACAGCCAAATGACGTCCCTGGTGGAATCAGCCACCATGAAGGATGCTGGTTCTTGTCCCCACAGGTGGTGACACTGTGGTACCGTGCCCCTGAGATCCTCTTGGGCAGCAAGTTTTATTCAACAGCTGTGGATATCTGGAGCATTGGTTGCATCTTTGCAGAGATGGTAGAGGGGACAAGCTGGGCTAGGGGTGTCTCTCAGTGGCAAAGTAGTCACCTAAGCTGGTGACAGCCATGGCCTCAATTCCCAAGACTGCAAAATAAAAAAATAAAAAATAAAAACAACTTTGAACTGGTAACCAGGGAGATGGCTTAGTGGGTAAAAGTGCTTGCTTCCTAACCTGACAACCTGAGTGTGATTCCTAGAACCCTCCTGGTGGAAGGAGGGAACCAAAGCTCTCATCTGACTGCCACACATGCACTGTGACAGACACACACACACCACACACACACACACACACACACACACAAATCAATAAAACTAAAACTAAAACATTTTAACCAACAAATCTAAGCTGGGCGTGGTAGCACAAGCCTGTCATTCTAGCACTTTGAAAGACAGGATAATATCAACTTTAAGGCCAGCCTAAACAACAAGAGCTAAGAATGCAGCACAGGGGTAGAACAACAACAACAAAAACCAGGAGTTAAGGGGGAAGAGGGTGCACTGAGGCAGGAGGATCTCCTATAGGTCAAGGCCAGCCTGGGATGCAGAACCAGGGCAGCCCACCAGGATCCTACTGTGGTTAATACTTGTATTAGCGGTGGGTTGAGGAGTGTATGTGACTGGCAAGCCTTGTTCCAGAAATGATGAGAATTTTATCATAGCCCTGGGAAAGACATCTTTATTGTTTATTTCGAGACAAGGCCTCACTGTGTAACTTTGGCTAGCCTAGAACTCACTATGTAGATCAGGCTGGCTTCATAGAGATCCACCTTCCTCTGTCTCCCAAGGACTAGGATTAAAGGTGTGCACCAACACACACGTCTTGTGAAAGATGCCCCTTCCTGTGTCTGTATCGTCCATCACTAGTGTCATACAGAACACACACTTCTCTCCTGCTCCAGGTGACCGGCAAACCTCTGTTCCCTGGCGATTCAGAGATCGACCAGCTCTTTCGGATCTTTCGCACCCTGGGGACCCCCAGTGAAGCCATGTGGCCTGGAGTCTCCCAGCTGCCTGACTATCAGAGGAGCTTCCCCAAATGGAACAGGAAGGGGCTGGAGGGAATCGTGCCCAGCCTGGGACCAGAAGGCAAGGACCTGCTCCTGGTAGGTACAAGTAGGCAAGGATAGCATCCCAGCAGCAGCAGTGGCCCCAGAAGTTCCCCTCTTTCAAGGCACCCTCTTATGTAACTCGTCGAGTGTAGACTAGACTCCTCTGACCTTTGTACACACTTGGCTTGTCTCTGTATATGTCCGGTCAGGAGCCGCTCTCCTGATAAATCCAATGTTCACCTTCCCTTTTGAAACTCCTCTGAAGTAGTTAGCTTTGGCTTAGTGCCCTGGTTGTTCTCCCTTTCTCCTAGTTCTCTTGTGTCTGTTTCTCTCTCTCTCTCTCTCTCTCTCTCTCTCTCTCTCTCTCTCTCTATCTATCTATCTTTAAGATTTATTTATTTATTTCATGTATATGAGAACACTGTAGCTGTTTTCAGACACACCAGAAGAGGGCATCGGATCCCATTATAAGATGGTTGTGAGCCACCATGTGGTGCTGGGAATTGAACTCAGGACCTCTGGAAGAGCAGTGAGTGCTCTTAACTGCTGAGCCATTGCTCCAGCCCCGACTCTCTTGTGGGCTTCCTGCCCCATCTGGGTGGAGCAGTTCTCTGAGCAGAGGCCACACCTCCTCCTGCCTCAGTTTTCCCTGTCATCCCTCTCTCACAGGTCAGTCTTCACACAGGACTGGCTGTGCAGAGCATCTTCTTCCTGCCTTGTGGACCCCTGCTGCTCTCCTGATCCTTCAGCTGCCTCCTGGGCCTCAGAGCCAGCCCTGTTTGCTCACAAGCCTGCAATCCCCGTTTCTGGGTTTACCCATGTTGGACCAGGGAGGAAAGGGCAGGGCCTCCATCGAGGCCATAGTCAGCTTACCAGAAGCCTGTGTGTGTGTTGTCTACCAACCTAGTGCCAACAGGAATGGCATGCGCTTCCTGCTAAGGTCTTTTCCCTCATAAGCTATTTCCTGGCATCCTGCCTGAGTTATGATTGCAGAGAGCGAGCTGCACGGGGCTGGCCTTGAGCTGTAGTCGGCTCCTCCTTTGCTTGCTCTATCCTGCCCCACTGCGAGTGCCCTCTCTTTGGACGGGGTTAGGGACTGCTGCTTACCATGAAACATATTGTCCTCAACCAGGAGTGGGTGGAACCTGGATGGGTCGTAGGCCTGGAATCAAAACAAATTGTTTAACCTCAGTTCTGGGAGCGTCCGGACCTGGCTTAAAAGCTGGGACACACGGGCTAAGATGGTTCCGCTGGCCAAGTGCTTGCCACATAAACCTGAGGACTTCAGATCTCCTGAACCACACAAAGCCAGGGGTGGGGTGGCTCAGTGGGTGAAGCTCTTGAGGCACAGTCATAGTACCTAAAGCTGAACACAGAAGCAGGGATCTATAACTCCACTGCTCCTAGAGCAGGATGGGGGCCTGAGACGGGAATCCCTAGAGCTCACAGGCTAGCCTGGCCTATGCAGTGCTGGCAAACAAAGAGACCCTGTTTAGGAGCTGGAAAGATGGCTGCTCTTGTAGAGTTCAGTTCCCAGCACCCAGACCAGGTGTCTTTTTTTTTTTTTAAAGATTTATGTATTTATTATATATGAATACACTGTCGCTGTCTTCAGACATACCAGAAGAGGGCATCAGATCTCATTACAGATGGTTGTGAGCCACCATGTGGTTGCTGGGAATTGAACTCAGGACCTCTGGAAGAGCAGTCAGTGCTCTTAACCACTGAGCCACCTCTCCAGCCCAGACCAGGTGTCTCATAGTCAACTCTAACTCCAGTTCCAGGGGACCTGATGCTTGGAGTTTCAGGTGCATGCGCACACCCGCGTGCACACATACACACAAACACACAGCTAAGAGGCAGTGGCTTCACAAAGTTCTGGGGTTAAACAGCCTTTCAGGGACGTGGCCCTCTCTCCCACTGGGACCTGTTGAAGGGACTTCCTCTGTACCCTGATTTCATCCAACAATCTCTTTTCTTTCCTTCCCCAGCAACTCCTGCAGTATGACCCCAGCCAGCGGATCTCAGCCAAGACTGCCCTGGCCCATCCCTACTTCTCTACTGAGCACTCCCTAGCTCCCCAACAGTGCACGGTGGAGCATTTCTACCACTGAGAACATGTATGTGGCGCCCACCACCTCACACCCTGCCGGCTGCCTCCCACCCACTTCCCAAGAAAGCCTTTCTGGGGAGAACACACCCCGAGGGGCTTGGGTTCATATTGCCTGCAGGTTGGCAAGTTCCTGTATTGTTTGTTGGATTTAATGGTGCACTTTCAAAAGCCATGCAGGGGCTCCCTGCTTGGGGGCGGGGCGCGTTACTCCTCTGACCACAGGTTAGTTAAGAGATCCCAGCCTTTCACCTTCACTGCGCAGCTGCAGGGCCAGGCCCCTGAGAGAGGGTGCCCTCTGCTGGGTAAACAGTCGGTGGGGCAGGGCAGTTCTCTGCTCCTAGGAGTGGTTACAGCACCTGGTGTTCTAAGCAGTCCCATCATCAAAAATAGGCTGCTGATGTCCTTCTGTGTGACACATGGGAAATAAATGTAACTTGTTCCTGAGTTTACTGGTATCAGTCTGCGTGTGGGGACATGGCTTGACAACAAGGGGGATCTTGACAGAGGGCTGGAGACAGTTCTGGCAGGACCTGAGGGGTCAGGGGGCCTCCAAGGCCTCGTTTCATGACCTCCTGTTTCTCAGGCAGGTGAGTTGGGCACATCCACCCCACATAATACATACTTTTAGGGGGGAAAAAATCCGCAAGCAGTACTGCTTCTGGGCTCACACCCTAGACGTTCTGACCCCTCAACTCCAAATGAGAGCGAAACACGGCACCAAGATAATTCATTTATTAGAAGCACGGGGTGGGGTGGAATGGGGTGGAACAATGGAGCCTCCCAAGTTTGGGGACAGAGCCCAACACCACAAATAACTGCGCAGTGAGATGAATGCACAGGCCGAGGACCCGCTGCCTTGGATTATGCTGCTCCGGGGCGAGGCCGCGCACGCGCATTCTTCTCCCCTCGGCATCGCCCTCATCAACGCACACAGGAGCGCGGCAGGGTTGGGGAGGCTGGGCGGTAGCAGCGATAGCCTTCTAGCATGGCTGGGAGTAGTAGCAAGCCACTTAGGGGATCTTTGCGGCAGCGCCCCATGGCCTCCTTGTAGCTCAGCCTCTCCTTGGTGATGGGGTCTGTCAAATCCTTCTCGTAGCTGGATTCGTCTTGCAGGAGCTGGCCCAGGTCTTCGGTGATCATCCCGCAGAGCACAGCCTGAGAGACAGGGATGCGTCCCGTCCTCTTGGGGTCGATGAGGCCCCCAGTCAGGTGCTGCACCAGCAGATGGGGAAGCACGCTTTCCTGGGGCATCCAGCCCTTCTGGATGGCCTCACCCACTGACAGCCTCTTCCTGGTGACTGGGTCCTCAATGCCAGTGAAGGCCTTCTGAGCATTGAGCAGCCGTTGAGTCGAGGTGTTCTCAATGAGTCCCCGCTCCACTGCCTTGTGTACGGAGTATCGTTCTCGGCTGAGAAGGTCTACAATGCCTCCTGTGGCTGCCTGGGCCTCCAGCAGCTTCTGCCCGGTGATGGGATCCAGCATGTTCTTGGCCACAGCTGCCTTGATGCTACACTTGTTGTCTGTGGTTGTGTCGTAAATCCCAGCGATGGGGAAGCTATCCTCAGTGAGCCCAAAAGAGAGGCCTGGGGAGAAGAAGCCGGTACTCTGGGGGCCTGGGGAGCAGACCGGGGACTTGGAGATGATAGACCCGATGGAGAGTGAGGAACTCGGTTTGGTCTCCCCTGCCACAAGCAGGGCGAACTCGGAGATGGGGAGGCGGCCATCTTTGTACCTGTGGTACTCTTCTTTGGAGATGCGGCGGCAGCGGAGGGCGGCCTCAATGGAGTATTGCTTCCCGCTCTTGCGGTCCAGGAGCACGGACTCCTCCCCGCAGGGGCTGGAGGTGGTAACTTCTTCCCAGTCACATTCCAGCTCCTGCAGCTGGAGGTACTGGCTTCTGTCGATGATACCCCTCTTGTAGGCCTCGTAAGGAGACATGTCATTCCCAGTCTCCGGTTCCAAGATGCAGATCTTGGTGGAAAGGTTGGTCTCCCTTGTCTGGGTTTCCTGGTTGAGCTCCTCCCGGCTCACCTTGGTGTGCAGGTCCCTGAGGGTCCTCTCTTTCTCGTAGATCTTGTCCTTTTCGTGGAGAATGGCAGCCTCGAGCTCCGTGATGGCCTGGCTCCGCTGGGCGGCCTTCTGGCGCTCGCTCTCTGTCTTCTGGCTAAGCAGCCTCCCCTCCTCCTGTAGCTGCTGGGCTTTCTGCTGCTTCTGCTGTTCCAACTCCCGCAGCTCTCTCTGCAGCCGCCCACAGTCCTGGCTTGCCTGGTCCCGTGCCTTCTGGAGCTCAGTTTCCTCGCGGGACCAGGACCTCCTCAGAGCCTCCGCTCGGTCGATGCGCTCCTGCAAGCTCCGGACATCCTCCTCCCGGCCCTTGCGGGCTGCGCGCTCCCGGTTAAGGGTCTCCCACACTCGGGCCCTCTCGCCCTCCAGCACCGGGTCCTTCTCGACCCTGATCACTTCCTTGTATATGGTCTTCTCCTGCGATTTAGTTTTCTGAAGGAGGTCAATCTGAACCTGCAGGCCCTTGCACTCCCGATGCAGCTCCATCACCCGGCTCTTCTCCTGATCCAGCATTCGCCGCAGAGCTTCTGTAGACCTCTCCAGATCGGGATCCTTCTCTAACTTGACTACCTCCTCCATGATGATCTTTTCCTGCAGGGCAGGGGGCCGCTTCTCCAGCTCCTGGATCTTCAGGGTCAGTTGCCGCAGCTCCCTCTCAGCAGCCAGCTTCTTGCTTCGGTCCTCCTCGAAGCTGAGCATGGCCTCCTCCTCCTCCACACGGGCGCCCAGCTGCCGCACCTCCAGCTCCAGCTGTCGCCGCCGCCCCACCTCCTCATCCAAGCTGCGGCTCAGCCGGCTGTGCTCCTCGCGCAGCTTCGGGTCCTTCTGGGTGACCACCACCTCCTGCACCACGATCTGCTCCTCGGGCCGCCTCCTCTCCAGCAGCAGATACTTGTTCTGCAGCTCATAGACGGCATCCTCGGCGGCTCGCCTCTTCTGGACAGCCTCCCGCACCTCCTGCCGGAGCCGCTCGGCCTCTTTCTCCAGCACCGGATCCTTCTCGTGCCGCACGACTTCTTTGCTCACCATTTTGGTCTCCACCTTGGACCTTTCTCGCTTCCACTCATCGCGTTCGCCCTGGAGCCGGATGAGCTGCTCCTGACAGCGCCCGTTGGTGTTGACCAGTTCGTTGAGCTGAGCCTTGAGACGGTCGATCTCCCGCTGCACCTCTGGGTTCTTCTCGTGTCTCACCACCTCCTGAGTCACCTCCTTATATTCCACCACGGGCTTCTGAGCCCGCAGGACCTCCAGCTCAGGCAGCAGCTTCTCCACCTCCCGCTCCACGCTGCTCTTCTTGCTGCCCGCCTCCTCCAGCTCAGCCCGGAGCCTCAGGATCTCCTGCTCTGTCTCCGGGTGCACCTGGAAGATCTCACTGACACGCTCCTGCAGTTGCACCTTGGGCTTCTGCTTTTCCACCACCCTGTACTTGTCCTGCAGCTCCTGAAGTTCCCTGGCCAACGTGACATTGGCCTTCTTCTCCTCCTCCAGGAGGCTTCTCAGCCTGGAGGCTTCCTTGAGAAGGCTGGGGTCCTGCTCCACCCTCTTCACTTCCTTCACGATGACCTTGGGCTCCACCGAGCTGATCGCCTGCTCCAGGTCTTTGATTCGAGCCTGTATCTTAGCAACGGCCTCCTTCGCCCTCTTCCTCCGTGCACCATCTTCCTCGATCTGTAGCCTTAGAGTCTGGGCCGCCTTAACCATTTCCAGATCCTTTTCCACCTTAACCACCTCCTTCACCACGACCTTCTCCTTCACATTCATCTCCTTCTGCTCCAGGGCCAGCAACTCATCCTTCAGTTCCTCCAGCCTGGCCACAAGGACTGCGTTCTCCTCATGCAGCCGTTGCATCTCATTGTGGAGCTGGGTAACCTGGTTGTCCAGGCCAGGGTCCCTCTCAATTTGGGTGACTTCTTTGGTCAGCAGGTGAGGCTGCATGGTCTTCCTCTTGCCCTCCAAATGGACAACCTTTTGGGCCACCGCCTCCAGCTCGGCCTGTAGGCGGGCTCGTTTCTTGCCCTCTTCCTTCACCTGGGATGATGCCTGAGACACACTACTCTCCAGCTGGGGGTCCCGGTAGAATTCTACCACTTCCTTCTCCTCCAGCCTCGCCACAGGCTGCTGGGTCCTCAGCTGCAGCAGCTGTTGCCTCTGCTCCTCCAGTTCACGCTGTACCTCAGCCACCCGCTTCCTCTCTTCCTCGAGCTGGGTCTTCAGGACCTCTGACTCTGTCCTTGCCTGTGCCGGACTCTCAGATCCTTGTCTTGTGCTGTGAATGGCTTGGATGTCCTCACTAAGCACCTTCTGTGGTAACGGGAAAGAGAGGACAGTACTGGGGTGAGCAGAGAAAAGATTGGAGCCCCATTTTTCTGCACCCCACTCCTGAAGTCAGAGACCTCAGCCTGCTTTATTAGACTTCCTGGTAGACCCCGAGCGGTGAAGCTGACGACTTGGGATACTTGGACACAGATTTTGAAAAGCTCAGATAGATGCTATCAGGATACAAAGCAGGGTCTGGGCCTCCTCAGCCCGGCCCCTGAGGCGGGGCGGGCCCTCACTAGCCTCGTCCCCCGCCCTCAGCCTTGCCCCTCCCCCCTGAGGCGGGGCTAACCTTCTGTAGATACTGGGAAAAAAAAGGGGGCTCAAGAAGAGAAAAGCGGGCAAGTCACAGGCACCATAAAGAGTTCCTGGCTTCTGCTCAACCTGCAATGGAGACCTAGATGGCCTACTGCCGATGTGACTGGGTCCTAAGACTGGGGACTATGGAGCATTTCTTGGCTCTCTAAAGCTCTCTTGTCCCCATCAGAGGGCTGCTTATGGCGAAGTGAAGACTTGGAGAGCACCTCCAGAGCCTGCCCGGAATAGACACAGCCTGTATGAACTTCTGGAAAAATCTTTATACTCAGGCCCGTCCAGAGACTGAGGCTGCAGGGGAGAAAGGTGACATCCGGGCCCACACCAGACCAGGTTGGCTGCTGTGACCA